TATGTTATATATATATATATATATATATATTTATATATATATGCACCATATATACATATCAGAACTTTTATTGTGTAGTTTTTATTCATGTATGTCTTTGTTTATATTATATGCTACCCCTGCTCTAAATTAATAATTTTATCGCTTTATCAATTTATTTTTTCAATTTAGGTGTTCATTAGTCGCCTACATTTTACTATTATTAAATCTTGCCAATTTGGCTTTATTGTATATTTGATATTATTGTATATTTGGTATTGGTATTATTGTATATTTTTAATTTAAGGTCTGAGGTTAAAGTTTTGTTTAACCTGCAGTTCATTAACACTCAACACATTTTGTCTCTAGTTTGTGGTTTTACTTGTACGAACATGTACAGGCATGAGCAAAACAGACATTGAAATGTAAATAGTGCTGCTCATTTGGATTTCAGTAGAGTGCTCCGGTGCCAGAAGGACTCTCGATTGATATTGAAATTGATTACTCCTTGAAAGTCATGCCCAGACTTGACTCATGGGCTACTGTCCAAACATGTCTAATTAAATATAATTCCCTAAAGTACCATTGTTGCAGTTATATCTGTGGCAATTTGGAAAAGGTTTATACTTTGGACAGAGTTTTATTTCACCCCTGAATTCATGTAGACCATATATTTATATTTACAGCTTTATGCATAAAATGTGAGGGAAAAACTATTAGTATTACCGGCAAAAAAATACTAGCATTTTCAACTTATATTACATGCATTAAAGGGACTCCCCTATGCATTATGTTGTATACAAACAAAAATGAATGGAGAGAGAGGTGGGCGTGTACGCAGTGAGAGAGTGTGTTCTTCAGAGCACAGAGGAGGAGGGCAGTGGGAGGGGAGGGGAGGAGGGGCGTGCTGGGAGGGTACAAGTCTGGCTGGGGGGTATATAAGGGTGGGCAGATTTCACATGTTGCGATAGACATCAGAGTGCTGATAACTATTGCGGATCTATCTGCACTGAACAGATTGCTCCTTTTCTTAAAAAACAGGATAATAACAAAAAACAAAGATGGAGCCAACTGAAGTTTATGACTACTACGACTACGAGGATGCCGAAAACTCCACCATGTGTGACTATTCTGAGTGGACGCCGTCATACTCCGTCATCCCCGTGCTGTACATGCTTATTTTCATCCTCGGCCTCTCCGGAAACGGGGTGGTGATCTTCACCGTGTGGAGGGCACAGGGTAAGCGGCGTGCAGCTGACATCTACATCGGCAACCTGGCGCTGGCTGACCTCACCTTTGTGGTCACTCTGCCTCTGTGGGCCGTTTACACCGCCATGGGCTACCACTGGCCCTTTGGGGTGGCCCTGTGTAAGATCAGCAGCTACGTGGTCCTGCTCAACATGTACGCCAGTGCCTTCTGCCTCACCTGCATGAGCTTCGACCGCTACCTGGCCATCGTCCACTCCTTGTCCAGCACCCAGCTGCGCACCCGTGGCCACATGCAAGCCTGCCTGACAGCCATCTGGCTGCTGTCTGGTGTCCTGGCTGCCCCGACTCTGGTCTTTCGCACCACTATATATGATCCAACCAGCAACAGCACGTCCTGCGCCATGGACTTCAGCCTGGTGATGACACGGAAAGATCAAGAGAGCCTGTGGAACGCTGGTCTCGGCATGTCCTCCTCAGTTCTGGGCTTTCTCCTGCCTTTCTTGGCGATGATGTTGTGCTACGGCTTCATCGGCTGCACCGTGACCCGCCACTTCAACACTCTGCGCAAAGAGGACCAACGTAAGAGGAGGCTGCTGAAGATCATCACCACGCTGGTGGTGGTGTTCGCCGCCTGCTGGATGCCCTTCCACATTGTGAAGAGCGCTGATGCCCTCTCCTATCTGGAGTTGTTTCCCGCCACTTGCAGTTTCCTGCGCTTCCTGCTGCTGGCTCACCCCTACGCCACCTGCCTGGCCTACGTCAACAGCTGCCTCAACCCCTTTCTATATGCCTTCTTCGACCTGCGCTTCAGATCCCAGTGCCTGTGCCTGCTCAACCTCAAGAAGTCCTTGCACGCGAGTCCCGCCAGCTCCCTGTCCTCTCAGAAGACAGAGACTCAGTCTCTGGCCACCAAGGTGTGACGACAGCTGAGGGCCCAGATGCATGCTGGGGAAGAGGTGAACAATGCAGAATAAAGCAGGTAAATCAAAACAGCGCTGGGTGCTTGCTCACGGATCAGGTCCTCGTGTCCGTTTCGGAGTGTCACCTTTGCTCCTCTCTGACTCTGTGGACTACTGTGGCCATTTGCCTGAAGACGACAGTCAGGCTTGTGGTTTTGGGGTCTGACCACACTCAAACTCCAGCCTCACTTTCAGGAGCAGAGGGTGCGAAACTGAACTATTTACTACAAGGGACCAAGCATAAGCCAGACTTTTTGAAAAAGTGGAATGTATTATAAATGGAACACATGCTTGTGTGGTTCTCCTGTGGACTTTTATGCAAAAATACTGAGCTTTTGAACTCCGCAATCCTGTCGTCAAGTCACTCATTTGCCCCGGCTGTTCTTGTTTTCATTTTTCAGCACTCGAGGTGTGTTATCAACCAGACTACCCCACTCTCCGACTCAAACTGTGATATCTGCATCACAGCCAGCAGTGTTACGCATGTGTGTGTGTTTATGTGTAGAAAGGGTGTGTCAGGTGGTAAGAGGTGTTGGAGTCTGATAAGAGTGTTGTAAGGAGGGGTGGGGATAGTGGGAGAGGGGGGGGGGGGAATCCCAGACAGACAGACAGATGGCAGCTGACAAATATTTTCAGGCTGTTAGAGGGCCCAATTAAAAGGTGACTGCTCTGACAGTCTGCGGTCGTGTGACTGTGTGTGTGTGTGTGTATGTGAAGGAATGAGTTTGTTTACTGAGCGTCAGAATGGCAATGACTTTGTTCCTGACAAATAAGCATTTTGTGAATGCACGTCATTTTGAATTGATTGTTTATGATTTGTAATTAAAAAAAGTGCTTTGAAAAAACACAAACATTCTGTCTCCCTCTGTCCCTTGTGATAGCTTGTTATGTCTCGCTGGAATGTATTTTCTCCTATCCAGTGAATGTGCTTCTTCCTGTTACTGCATTGCTGAGGGCAGGCAGTCTCCCTCCTATTGTGTTTCGCAGGGCCGAAATCAAAGCATGTGTCTGGAGGAAATGCAAGTTTGACTTCTGTTCCTCTCCTCCGGCATGTTTGTTTCTTCTCCTCCTCACAATTCTCTCACACAAACAGTGAGAACAAAAGTTCCTAAATTGGATCAACCACCAGACATTTGGCTTTGTTCCAGAGAAGTTTAAGTCTCGAGGTTTAATTACCACAAAATTAGGGTTCTTTTTTCCCGTTTCAACATCCCAGTATACCCCTGAATGTGTCCCTGTGTTGTTAGTTCATCATAATTAAGCATAGCTGAATGTCTTGGTTTTAGCAAACACACTCAGAACAGCTTGCTGAGCTTTATATTAGAATTCAACAATGTTGACTGTAAAGAGCTTTTTACAGGATGTAATCAGCAACAGCAGGGAGACAGAAGGATTGAACTAATCCTCGGTTACTAATTTGTGGTGGGACTCCACTATCTGCTCCTGTGTATTACCTTTGACAGAGACGCTTAGTTGTAATCACCTACAATTACAGTTCGCTACAGTGTGCCGTTAAGTTAGGGTTTGGTAAAGGTTCAGTAAATGTGACAAAAGCCGATGGACAAAAGTAATCTGCGTCCTAAATTTCCCAGGTGAAATCTGAAAGCTTCCTTGTCATTGTAGGAGAAAAGAAATCCAGCAGCTGCAGCGACATTCACTCCGTCTCCTTCATCGCTGTCTCAGCTCTATAATCTCATCTGAGCCAAGACACAAACACAGACTTTACACAATCTTTATTTAATGTATCTTGATTTAGTCTACAGAAGATGAGGAATTTCCTGGAAATGTGTTGCATGAAACAACAGTAATTTAATTAGTGGCACAATCCATGCGCTGGAGAGTCTGTGCAACATGTTTTATTGGTGAAACAGCGCACCGTACAATTTTAAATTCCATGCAGCAGCAGTTTTTTACAGGACGACTTGTCACATTATCCTCCACCTGTCGGTATCAAAGTCAAAGCCTGGCATGAAAGATAATCAGGATAGATTATTGACATGGGTTTTCAAATGTTATGAAGCTAATGTGGATCATGTTACCAGTATTTCATGGCATGAACTCAACCAAAGCTCGACAACAAAGTGCAAGAGAAAAGGGGATTTAAGCCCTTTGATTCTCTCTCGGCTGGGTGTTTGTCTGAGATGACATTCAGAAATGATTACGCAAATGTTTTCATTCCTCTGTAATAACAGAGTGTGAAAAATGAGTGTGTCCTCGCTGGAAGTAGGCTTGCCACGTGGAATCCCGTGGGTATAAAAAGTCTTCATTCTCCTTTTCTAAGAAATGAAAAACAACTAGAACAGATTTTTTGAAAAAATGCATTCACTGTTAAATTATAATTGAGCCTTTACAGCCAAGAACTATATAAAGACAAGGCATTGTTCTCTGTATTGATAATGTGACTGAAACAATGTTGTATTGGTATTTTCTGCAAGGAGGCCACAGTAGTTCTGTCTGTGCAAAGACGAGCACCACTGCTGTCTGAAGACGCTGCTGAGAGGAAAAATCAAAGCTTCATTAAATGTCAAAAGTTAACAAACTCAAAGTACTAATTATATCCATAATAGTGTCTTGTAGACACCACAGTTAACGCCTGACACAACAGTCTTACTAAATGCTTCTTACAACACAAATCTCTCTATATTTGTATATTTACATCACACTTGGTTCTCATTATTTGCTCTGTCTCCAGTGGAAATGAAGAAACCAGTTGAAGCGTCAGTCCACACTTTTCAAAACAAAACCACATCAGAATTTGATTTATTGTCAAATAGGTTTTTGAAGGAATTTGCCAAGAATGACAATAAACAGTCATAGAAAATAAAAATACAAAGCAAGTACTGCACAAGTCAAGAATCATAATATAATAGAAATAGAAAAATGTACAATAAATAAGCATTTTAAAAAGGATATGTACAAGTTTTTCAAGTGAAAAGAGGTGTACTGTGTTTGAAAGGAAGAAGTTGGAATGTGCAAAATATTTACTTAAGAATCTATAAAAGTTCACAGAATAAATAATATGTGCAAGATGTGCGTAAATGAAATGCATTGAGTCAGATACAACTGGGGGGTAAGTTATAAAATATGTTTGCTGGGTTTGTTTTGTTCGTTTTTTATTTCCTAAACTGACCCTTTAAGTCTGGACGGAGCGATGTGAAACAATCCTCTCTGTCTAAGGAGGTGATCTATAAACACAGCGCAATGCAGACACCAGCCTGGACAGTGTCTGTTTGCAGGTAATGCATATCAACTGAAACTAAAGGCAAAGGTGAGAAGGACGAGTTTCTATAGGGGTGCTCACTCACTCATTCGTTGTTATATCAATGGGTGACAATAGCCTTTGTGTTGTTTCAAATCAGACTTGCAGCCAGACCTCCTGTATCTCAGCAGCATATGTTCAGCTGTCATAAATCACAACCAAATAAACCAGGTCATGCAGAAATTAGACAGAGGAACTGTGCACTCTTTTCTCTACCTTCCTCCTTCCACAATGGTGGCTGAGCAGCACAGCCAGCGGACCGGACCTGAAGCCTGGTCTGACCACAGTGTGGTAGGATGAGATGCTGACCCCTGGGGCGTCTTGGAGGACCGTCAGCTTCCTGTTGCCCGGTCCCTGCAGCGCTCCTCCCTGCACCGTCCCAGGAGGACGACAGACCTCACGGACAGGATAGGAATCAGCAGGCCAGGCAGGAAAAGAGAGGTAGGGGTTCCTGACCGGGGATATCCTGTCTTTCAGAAGCATGTCTCTGCTTTTAAGGGCCCTCTGTGAGATAGATAGAGATGCATGCTCCGTCTGGGGGTCTTGGAGGACAAGGGTGCTTGCTTCAGACTCTGTGTGACAAATGGGAGCTATAGAAAAAAAAAGTGACAATAAAGCTTAAAGCACAGCATAGTGGCACACATGTGACTCAAACACCTGAAGTGAGAAATCAGAAGTCTCTTTCTCCCTCACTCTCTGCTCTCACTCTGTCTCTCCTGAGATGTCAGGCATTTCAAAGGCGTTCACACAAGATGGCCATCGTTAGTGGAGACACGTCGTTTCCGACGGCAGAAAAGAGCGGAAGTGCCCAAGCTTTGGGTGACTCCGGATCTCGGGTTATGTGGGTCTCAGAGAAGATCATCCTCTTCACAGGGCACAAAGTGTCCCTTCATTCCGTCCTCTATCCTCTCCATTGTGCATCCTTCCCTCCCTCGGGCCTAAATGGATGCCCTGTCATCTGCAGCAGGACCGAGCCAGTTCAGAGGCTCAGCTGCACTGATTGAAGCATCACAGGTAAAGATAGCTGCACATGTCAGCAAGAAATTACACAAGGACAACGCCAGTCTTCATTGATTTAGGAAGTAACTGCAGTGCAGCTGACAATGTCAGCTGATGTAGCACCAAAGGTTAAGGCCTTAGACTAAAGTTATAGACACCTATTGAAATAGAAGTAAGTGTAGGACTCAAGCTCTAGTCTACAGAGTGACAATTTCTGTCAGATTTCAGACAGCTGTAACAGTTTAACACTTTACTACACACCCACACACTGAGTCATAACACATCCTGTACCAGTTCATAATGAAATGTTAGAATTTTACAAATAATTGTACAAGATTGTATTACTGTAAGTTATATGTACATGTTAAGGAAAAAAAAGGGTAAATTGAAATACTTCTAAACCACTGATGTATAAACCCACATACACACACACAGAGGACCTCTCTGCATGACATTTTCCTGACAGGTGGCATGTTGAAAGGAGGCTGAGGCACAGGAACCCAAAAACACCAGGCAGGGCTTATGAATGCCGAGTCATTAGCCATGTAGAAGATAGCAACAGAGCCCTGAAAGTATGAAGAACATCACTGTTGTTCCAGTTATATGTCAGCCACATTTCATAGGATGAATAGCGGGTCTTTGTTTTCCCATCAGAAAGAGAAGGAAGAAATACAAGTTGTATTTCGGGGCATCCTCTCTAGCTGGTGTGTGCTGGTGAGTCAATAAAAGTGGTAACATAGGTTCACTTTATCAATTGATGACTGATTTATAAAGATAGTCAAATACTGACACCTAGTGGCAACACCGGAAACAGTCTGTCCCCGGAACTTTGACATCCGAGCTGCTGCTACCTTCGGAGTTATTAAGGAGCAGGACCGGGTTAGCCGTTGGCCCTTCAGATGCTAACCGAAGCTAACTCAACCCACCACAAGTCAAATTAACCTGCTTTGTTTCACAGTCCGGTCCGTGTTTAGTCCGCATGTTGTCTCGCAAACAGAAGCGGGTGTGGAAATACGTGGAGGAGGGCGACTTGCTGAAGCTGAAGTCGTACCTGCGGAAGCACCGGGACCTGGACGTGAACTTCTCCCAGGGCAAGAGGGAGAGGAGCCCGCTGCACCTGGCCTGCTGCCTGGGAGACGACGCTGTTCTTCGGCTGTTGCTCAAACACGGAGCCGATGTTCTCCGCAAGGACCGTAAAGGAGACACGGCGCTACACAACGCGGTCAACAGGGCTCTTAAACACGGGAAATCAGGTAAGGAGAGACGCGTAAAGGAGCTGTTGTTGAATTATAAACGTTGGCCGCCATTTGTCATATCTTTGCTTTTTGTTTTTGTTTTCCCCACAGCGTATGAAGACCTGGTTGAGCCGCTCAAAAACAGCTGTCCAGAGGCTTTGAATAACCCAAACAGCGCTGGAGTCACACCTCAAGATCTACTGAACTGGAGGAAACAGAAAAAGGTGAGTTAGACCTTTAGTTAAGGATCAGTGTTATGGTCACAAACTATATTTTAGTAGCTATTATTAAGAAATGTCTGCCACTAATGACAGTTGTCATTGTAGATCAATCTGCTTGTGATCATTTTGAGTAATAATTGTGTCCTAAACCAAAACATAAAGCAACTTTTCACGTTATTTAACAGTGAAAGAGCTGGAACAGTTAGTTTATTAATCAGTTAGTGGGTCATCAGAAACATGATCAGCATCTAATATATTGATTTATCGTTTATTTGTTTTACAAAATAAGAATCCACACTTTTTGTTTATTATGTTTAAATAACGTTTTTTCTCTGTGTTATCACATGACATTTGAACAAGTTATCATGGTTTTAACTTGGCATTTTTGTGTATAACGTTCACAGTAAACATAGTAAATGAAAAATAAAACAAATATTACAAAGGTCAAGAATCATAAATATCAAATAGAAATTAACAATAATAAATATATCTCTGTTTTACGATGAAAAGAGCTGTGAAAGTGATCGATTTCTCTTCCAGGGAGCCATTGTTTTCCATTCATTTCAGTTTGGTATAATGATCAACTCTCAGTGAGGGGTCAGAGGTATTCTTGTTGAAAGACAGATTAATCATTAAATCTCTCTCAAGCAAGTTTCAGTTCTCTGTACATTGATTTTCATATTGCGCACAAATGAATCAAAACCATCGTCTGCCTGGAAGGGTGGGAGCACCATCTTTGTGTAATTCGGGTGATTCCTTTGCATCAGATGTCAGCAGAGCAACATTTGATCTGTTTGTTAGTGTTTGATCAGATTCACACATAATTCCCTTAAATTCCTCAGACTGCCGAAAACATGAGCCGCCCGTCTGAAAGAGACCCTGAGAAGGAGTGGATGGAAAAGCTGTTTGGTGAATGCGAGGATGAATTCTGCGACACCTTTGGCGTCTATGATGGTACATTTAAACTCATTATTAAACGCAGAATTCTATTTTGACTTACCCTACATAAATAACACGGCTGTACTTCTTTCACACAGCTGACGATTTTCTTCCCGTTGACGATGACGAGCAAGACTTCGGGGACTGGGCTGACCGCATTAGAAAAGAATATTTCGATAAAAAGCACGCCGAAGCTCAGAGACTGGCAGCGTCGTCCTCCGGGTGGAAAAAGAAAGAGAAGAGTAAACAAGAGCGAGAGCAGGAGGCGCAGAGCCAGAAGGAGCTGCATGAGAGGCTGCAGAGGGAACATGAAGAGTATCTGGCACGAGCGGCACGCAAAGAGGAAGAGGCCCGGCAGGGTAGGAAGCGCATGTACGACGAAAGGTGCGCTGCAACTTTTAGTGGTGGCTCCTCGTCCGGCGTCGCGAAGCTGAGCTACAGCGATATCCCCTGGCCCGCTCCCCGAGGAACAGTACAGGAGATGCTGGATGTGATGCTGCACGGCGTGGACAGGAAGGACGTGCCGGTGTTTCGTAAAATGCTCCGGAAGCAGCAAACGCTGTGGCATCCGGATAAATTTGCTCAGCGATGCGAAGCTCGATTGGAGGTGAAGGACAAGCAACGGATCCTGGACACAGTTACAGCGCTGTCGCAGGAGCTCAACAGGCTGGCTCATAGCCTGAGGACTTAAAGTCAAGCTAATAGTATCGTATAGTACTATGTGCTTCTCTGGACAACTTTATAATTAAACTGAATTCGTACCATGAATGCAAAAAAATCCAGCACACTGTTTGACAACATTTTGGTCCTCCATACTTTCTTCAGGTGAAAGTCATCCAGACACACAGCACCAGGATGTAAATGTAAACGTAGCCCAGGGATTTATGCAAATCAATGAAAATACATCAGGCGGTTTCACAAACACACCAGGGAGCAGCTGAGGGTTAAGGGCCTTGCTCAAGGGTACACAAGCATGGTAATAATGTCTGGATCTATCATGCTAGTCGTCTTTATCCTTATCCTGAAGTAGACCACTGCTGTGCTCCTAATTTGTGGGAAGAAATGAAAGTCAGTAGATACAAAAACGTCTGCCGTTATTGTGAATACTTGCTTTTTTCCCTGTAATATGAGAGTGTACCTGCAGGATTGAAACAGTAGAGATTGTACCCACAGAGGACCAATCAACAGATTGAACACCGAGCAGTGACATGCTTCAGATAAAAGCCTGATTTAATGAAAATAAAATGAACTTTATCCAGCTTTTTCAAAACCCTGAGTTACCTTTGTGTTGAGTCATAGAGCAGTAAAACAGCCCGTAGTTAAAGAGTCAGCAAAAAGATGCTCCTACGTGTGGCCAGCAGGTCTATTAAGACGTGCAGTACTAATTTATCACGAGGGAAGATTTGCTCTTATAAAGCAAAACTGAACCCATCATTCTGAAACACCTTAAATAAAGGATTTCACACAAAGAGCAGACGGTCGGTCCGCTTTCAGTGATGGAACAGAATTAGAAGATGCGCAGGTTGCCAGGTTTGTGAGCAGACCACCTTTTTAAGAAGATAAACTTGTCATTTACAAGCACAGTATCAAACGAGACAAAGGAATTTACTGAAAGTTTATTCTGGGGCTAATTCACAAAAAAGAGCAAAATGTGAATGAATAACACATTTACGACATAATATTGAAACAAAAGTAGAGGCTAGAATATGTTATATAAAATAATGTGCCTATATCTTCAAAAATATTTGATCATTGTGGAATACAAAATCATTTTTTACATCTGTTCACATAGTTTTGAACACGGTGTCCTTGTCTTATTGGTGTGCTTTATTGTGTTTAGCGCATTTTGGCATGAGGCTACCTCAAATAACTGCTGTTTGCACAGCAGGGCGTGAGAGCTGCAGGTTAAGTTTCGACAAATTAGCGTCAAACAACATTTTTCTGCAGATGTCGTATGAGCTGTATTTCTCCTCGTTGGCTGTCAGATAAAACCTCTTTCACGCGAGTCATTTTGTAATTCACGAATCAACGATTATTGCGGAGGATGCGACAATATCTGGCAACCCGGAGACGCAATCTGTCGATTGCCGGCGCGACGTAGCGAGAATAAAGGCCGTAGCCTATTTCGGACTGTCTTTTTATAACGTGTGATGCTACCTTCAGCCCCACTTGTCTGTATGGAGGGTTGAAGGATTCATCTTATAGTTCGCCTGTTGCTCGTTTCTTTGCGGCCCCGCGTTGCGTCGTCTCCGTGTGTGTGTTGTTTTTTTGCGCCGTAATGTCAGGTGTTCAAGGTAAAGAGCCCACAGGATGACTCGATGCACAATGTGCATTAGGGACGTTCCTGTCTTTGTTTTCATATTGTTTATTTTATAGAAAGCAGACGGGCTTTGCGCGGAGACAAAGCGGAGCGACACCCGGACCCAGAATGAGGAAAATGTCCCTTCATTATTAATAGACAATAACTAATCCTCGGGGCGACGTTGATTGGTTAATGCGTTTAAAGCCACGCACCGACTCGTCGCATTGTGTGATGTCCTATATTCGCTCGTAGTCGACGGCTCGTTGTCCAGCAGTCATAAGGCTACACACCGGTTAATAGGCGGCGGAGGAGATCTGTCTGGCACATAAAGATGGTGTTTCGGAGTGAGGAGATGTGCTTGGCGCAATTGTTTCTGCAGTCCGGCTCTGAATATGACTGCATCAGTGAGCTCGGGGAGCTGGGGCTGGTCGAGTTTCGAGATGTAAGTAGAAATGATGCACAAACACTCTTTTATTTTATTTTAAATGTAGCCTATCTATCCCCCCCCCGGTTTAAAAGTATGTGTGCTTATGTATTATTTTAGAAAGCCTATCTGTATTGTTTTAATAGAGAATAAATTAATTCTGCCTTACATGTGCTTTTCTCTCTGGGTGCATGCATGCTTGAGGGATGGGGGTGAATGTTGGAACGGCCTCCTATAAATAGACACAAATGTTCTTCGACTTTATCCATCCAGCTGAATGTCTGCATTATGACTGACTTTTCATGTTCAATTTGTACAATGGTTTAAAGTCAAATTGCTCCACATTGCACTTGACTCTTGGAGAGTATTATTACAGTATGGAAAGTATGATGAACAAGAATTAACAATACTAGAGCCGGACTAAAACTTCGTAAAGATGCCATGTTGAACCTCGTTATTGCACATGCACGGACTGATGCAGTAGAGCTTGCAGCTCACCTGACCTGTGATGCTTCCTCTGGTTTCAGCTCAACCCAAGTGTCAGCTCATTCCAGCGGCGCTTCGTCAGCGAAATCAAGAGATGTGATGAGATGGAGAGGATTCTGGGTAAGAGAGCACCTGGGGGTGGTTCATGTAGGTGTAGCCTTGACTGAGCACACATCATCAGGGGAAGTAAGCAACTCATGGCTGGTTGTGTTTAACAAACTGACGGCTTGTCTGACACTCCAGTTATAATTACCGTGAAATAAACTGTCAGCATTTTTTATTTGTTTGACAGGCTACCTGCTGAGGGAGATTCAAAAGACTAGTATAGCCGTTCCAGAGGAGGATGACAGCCCGCTTGCTCCTCTCGCCAGACAAGCCCTTGAGATCATGGTGAGTGTCACTTCAGCCACATTTTACTGTAAAAGTACCCTCATTGTACACTTTGCATAGTGTTTAATGGAGTGCATTTATATGCATACAAATATATGCATATATACTTGGTCCCCATATATACATATATACAT